TGTTAAAATTGGATTTTAGGTTTGAAAATTCGTAACAAATTCCAGAAAGTCATATTGTAGTTCCAGAAAGTTTATTTTGACAATATCTTATTTTTGTTTAATTTTTGCTATTATACATGTTTAATTCCTTGTTAATGTTTAATTTATTTACCATATTGTTGAATGCAAAAATGATGTTTAGTAGCTAAATTTATTTTGGGCATGAATTGAGTAAAGGAATATGGATTGACTTGTTAGCCGAAAATTAGGGGTTAAAATTAATTAATTGAGCTAGTTATTCATTTTGATGAATTACTAATTAATAATTGGTAGCCAATTTCATTAATTAAATTTTGGAAAATTTTTTCTAACTTGTCTATGAGATTAGAAAGTAATTTGAGCCAAATTTATTCAAGCACATTAATAAGGCCTAGAAATAGGATAATTTTAATGAAATGGGTTTACATCTTGTCTATGAGAAATAAATTTAAATTGCTTAAATAATGAATTTAATTAGTTAATGAATTTGGCTATTTTTATTTATTAAAAATTTGGAGAATTATTTCTGCCTTGTCTATGAGATTAGAATTTAATTCAAGCCAACCATTTTTGAATACATTAATGAAACCTAGAAATAGGATACATTAATGAAAGTGATTTCTATTCTTGTCTATGAGAAAAGAAATTATTAGTCCAATTTTAGTTTTAAATTCCCCTAATTACTAGGTCCAAGAATATATCCATTTCCAATTACTCAATTCATTGCCCTTACTTGCCTCAATCTTTTCATTAATCTTTAGAATATTTGATCTTAAATTTTTTAGTTGAAATTTGCTGTTAGTGTAATTGTGCAAATTGGCCTAGTCTAGAACACAATCACGCTTTTTGTATTGAAAAAGCTTCCAACAATTAGCGATAGCCCGTGACTAAGACTAAATTAAGAAAACTCCTCCGCCATTCCTCAAGAGACACGATACTCGGGGAAAAACCGAAAGGTTAGACTCCGTTTTACTACAACGCCGCGTAAGCGGTTATCACCCATGATGGGAACGGAGTGACCGTTGCCGACCAAAATACGAGAATTAGTACGCGAATTAAAAAAGGGAGTGAGAGTACCTGAGGAGGAAGCCATATGAGAAGTTGCCCCGGTGTTCATATACCATTGATCATCCGGCGGGTTGAGGGTTAGGGTATGCATGGCGGCTTGGATGTCGGTGGGTGTATGGTTGGGAGCATAGTGAGCTTAGGGAGGGCGTGAACCCAGGATGCCGGTCGAGGGGTTGGGCGAGGGGGTTCAAGCAAATTGAGGGGTGGTGGAGTAAGGCATGGAGGTATAGTCGAGGGGGTTGCTGCCAATATTGCCAAGGGGGAAAGGACCACTGTCCACCCGGGGGTAGATGGTGGGGTTATAGTGGTTGATTTTGTATACGAGAATTGGTAAATAATTATGTAGAATAATTGAATGCAATTGCTGCTCATATATCGATCCTGGTTATTTTTTTTTCTCTACCATTCGACCATGGCTTCCCAACCAAACCAACCAAAATTCCATCCCGCCCTGACCGTCTCCAACATCAATAATTTCATTCCTATCACCCTCGATGTTGACACCGTCGAATATTCATCTTGGGCGGAACTGTTTAAAATTACCGCCCGAGCCTATCAAGTGCTTGATCACATCCTCCCCACCCCAGTCGTTGCCACGAATCCCCCTCCTACCACCACTGTCGAGCAACGCCTCGAACAAGAATCTGTCGCGACTGAACTTTGGCTTATTTGGGATCCATTTTCTTATAGCAAGAATGTTGGTATCGATCCCATCCGACCGAACCCGGGGGTTGTGGGGACAGACAATATGGGAAGAGTGTGGTGGTCCGTGATGGAGAAAGGGAGAGGGGGAATTGCCGGCTTGGTGCTGTTTTCAGGTTTCTTTGAGGGACACCATGGAACGGGCCTTGGAGAATCAGGGTAGAGGATCAGACTGCTGCATAAGGGACGCCACAGTGTCATAGTGCTCCGGCAGACTATTGACAAGGCAAAGAACAAGACGGTCGTTGCTAATGGGGGAGCCGACATTGCCAAGTTGATCGGCTAAGAGCTTTAGGGCCTTAATGAAGGAGGCGACATTGGGAAATTGATCAAGACGTGTATTGGAAAACTGATTTTCGAGATACACCGCCCGGGAGTGTTTGTTATCTTGATTGTGCCGTGGAATTGGGGGAGAATGGTATGGAGTAGGTCATGAGAAATTGTACCATAAATCCATTGGAGGACCACATCATCTAGCTGATCCCAAATAAGCCGAAGTTCGGTCACGGCAGCCTCTTGTTCGAGGCGTTGCTCGAGAGTGGTGGTAGGAGGGGGAGTCGTGGCAACAACTGGGGTGGGGAGGATGTGAACCGGTACTTGATAGGCTCGGGCGGTAATTTTAAACAGTTCCGCCCAAGATGAATATTCGACGGTGTCAACATTGAGGGTGATAGGAATGAAATTCTTGATGTTGGAGACAGCCAGGGCGGGATGGAATTTTGGTTGGTTTGGTTGGGAAGCCATGATGGAATGGTAGACAAAAAAATAACCAGGCTTGATATCAAGATAGAATGTCAAACTTGCCTTCTATTCCAATTCAAACTAATATTTAAAGTACAACAAGAGACCTGCGGCTGAGCTAAACTGTGAAGGAAATAAACAACATTCAATGGAATAATTATGAGGAATAATATAAATAAGGTAAATAATTATGTAGAATAACTGAATGGAATTGCTGCCCATATATTGGAGTTAATTGTTTGGGACATTGTGGTGATAGAGTTCTTGGTAGACTTAGGCAACATAAATTAATTTCTAGTTCTTCTTCTTTTGTTCATGATTGCGTTTCTTGCAAGTTGGGTAAATCCCACAGACTTCCCTTCAGTGATGTTACTCATGATTCTACTCCTCCTTTACAACTTATTCACTCAGATGTTTGGCAATCGCCAATTTTATCAAATCCTGGTTTTAAATATTATGTCTCATTTATTGATGACTTTTCTAGATATACTTGGATTTATCTCATGCGTAGGAAATCTGAATTATTTGGTCATTTTTGCAATTTTCAAAATTTAGCTTGAAATCTTTTGAACTTGAAAATAAAGGGTTTTCAGAGTGATGGTGGTGGTGTGTTTGACAATACTATTTTTTGAGAGCATTTTATTTAGAAAGTCATGTCCTGAAACTCAGGCTCAAAATGGTGTTGCGGAACGGAAACACAAACATCTTCTAGAATTAACTAGGACTATGCTAATTGATTCCTCTGTCCCTAGTCAATTCTGGGCTGATGCACTTTACACTGCTACTTTTATTATTAATCGTCTTGCCACACCTATTTTGGATGGATTTACACCATATGAGAAACTTTTTAATAAAACTCCTGATTATAATTTTATGCGTGTTTTTAGCTACTCATGTTTTCCAAATTTTAATGCTGCCTCTCACAATAAGCTATCACCCCACTCCGTTCACTTTGTTTTCATTGGCAATGCACTGGGGTACAAGGGCTACCGTTGTCTCTCCCCTTCCTCTGGTCGTGTCTATGTTAGTAGGGATGTCACTTTTCATGAAAATGTTTTTCCATACTCTACTTTAATTTCCACCACCCAAATCCCCAACTCCAGCTTATCATCCTCCTCGTTGTCTACATCAACCCATTGGCTACAACCATCCCGACCAGTCCCATTGTCCCTTTCCTCTCCCCTCCTACCGTCCTCTTACGAGTCTGCCGCACCCACACCAACACCAATTCCCTTCTCCCCATTTATTATATCACTTGTTGCCACCTCACTGCCTGAATCCCCCACGGCTGAACACGTTACCAGCCCGCTATCCACACCCGGCAGCGTACTATCCATGCCCGGCAGCGCTGCTTCTTCCTCGGCTGGCACCACATTACCCTCGGCCAACACTCCACAGTCCGTCGTTGATCCTCTTAATATCCATCCCATGCGTACACGCGCTAAGGATGGTATTTTCAAACCAAAACAGATTTTTAATTTAAGTGTTTTTTCTCCCCCGGATGATCCAACTTGTTTTACACAGGTAAATAAAAGTGAGGTTTGGCGGGCAGCCATGACTGATGAATTTAATGCTTTAATTGCTAATAAGACTTGGGATTTGGTACCTTGGGATAACACTAAAACTGCGATTGGTTGTATGTGGATTTATAAGACCAAATATTGTTCTGATGGGTCTGTTGAGCGAAATAAAGCTCGGTTAGTTGCTCAGGGGTTTAAACAACAAGCTGACATTGATTTCACCGAAACAATTAGTCATGTAGTTAAACCCACTACTATTTGTCATTTTTTATCTGTTGTTATTTCCCTGGGGTGGCCTGTTAGACAACTTGATGTGAAAAATGCTTTCTTACATGGCTTTATATGCGTCAACCACATGGTTTTATTCATCCGTCTTTTCCTAATCATGTGTGTCGTTTGCGAAAGGCTCTTTATGGTCTGAAACAAGATCCGAGAGCTTGGTTTCATCGTTTCAGTGGTTTTTTGTTGAGTCGGGGTTTCACACAAAGTAAGTCTGATTCTTCTATGTTTGTTTACCGTTCTAAGTCACAGGTCGTTTATATTCTTCTGTATGTGGATGATATTCTCATTACCGGTTCTTCTTCTTCGTTTGTTATGTTTGTGATTCATACATTATCTCTTCAGTTCGCCATGAAAGATTTGGGTGATGTTCATTATTTCTTGGGTATTCAGGCCAAGCGCACACCTAACGGATTGTTTTTGTCACAGGCTAAATATATTTCTGATCTCTTGCATCGTTTCCATCTTCACACAGTTCAGCCTGTTCGCACTCCTCTTCCCTCATGTACCACTCTTTCTCTCACAGATGGGGAACTTTTATCTGATGCTACTAAGTATCGCATTAGGGTAGGTGCTCTTTAGTATTTGATTATAACTAGACCTGATAATACATATACTGTTCATCTGGTTTCCCAATTTATGCATGCTCCCCGTACTACTCATTTATTGGCTGTCAAGAGAATTTACATGTACATACAGGGGACATGAGCTCACGGCCTCTGGCTCAAATCTGACAGAAATATTTCTGTTATTATGGCTTATTCTGATGCGGATTGGGCAGAATGTCCAGACAATTCTCGTTCCACTACTGGTTGAGCGATCTAAAAAGCAGCCCACTGTGTCAAAATCTTCCACTGAAGCAGAATACAGGGCAATCACTTATACTGTTCAGGACACACTTTTTATCAGGTCACTATTAGCTGGCATGGGAATCTATATTTCGGCTTCAGTGCAACTTCATTGTGACAACGTCTCTCCCTCATACTTAGCTATTAATCCTATTCAGCATGATCGGAGCAAGCACATCAAAATCGATTATCATTTTGTTCGTGAAAGGATGGCTCATGGGGATCTTGTCGTAAAGTATATTCCTACCCAGTTGCAGTTAGCTGACATTTTTTCAAAAAAATTATCTAGTCAGCGTTTTGATTTTTTACGTTCCAATCTGCGTGTTGTATCCCCTGCACAGATTGAGGAGAGTAATAATGTAATTATATAAGGATTACTATGTAAATTCCAAAACTAGTTTTTAGTATAAATATAACGTCAAGGCACCCGATAGGGTACGCTATCATTTCACAAAATTATTGTTTTGTATACCTGTTTGGTAATACTATAATCGGCTGAATCGGCTGATTGTGCTGAAATTTATGAACTTCTGACTGAAGTGGCTGTATTGGTTGATTCTACTGATTTATAAATAAATTATATTTAAAATATATTTTATTAATGAAATAAAGAAAAAATTATAGGAAAAAATATTTAAATTGGTCATATATAGTAACTTCAGCCAATACAGACAGAAAAGTAACTACAACCTTACCTTTTCTTATTATTACACAATCCAGCGTGCGAAATCCAAAGTTATATGTTTGGTTAAAAGTTAAATGATAAGCTTGATAAGCCAAAAAATAGAGTAACCAAACAGGCTCTGAACTTATACTCCCCATGTCCCTTTTTATTTAGCCAAATTTGACTTTTCAAGTCAATGATATTAAACTTTGATCAATTATATATTTATACACGGTAGTATTGATAATATGAAAATGATATGAAAATGTTGTTTGTTAAAAATACTATCATAAAAGTATAAGTTTATTAAGTTTCGCATTATATATTAGTTCAAATAATAGATCAAAATTTATCATATTTGACTGGAAAAGTCAAAGATGACTAAATAAAAAGGGATAGAGGTTGTATTAATTTATATAGAGGATATATATATATATTACTACCTCCGCCCCTTAAAACTTTGCCAAAGTTGACCGGCACGGAGAATAATAAAGTAAAAACTGTGTGGTTGCGGTTTATGCAGAGGAGAGAGAAATAACAGAAACCACAAAATAATTGATTAAAAGGGAAAGTGGCAAAGTTTTTTGGGACGTCCAAAAAATGAAAGATGGTAAAGTTTTAAGAGACGGAGGGAGTACTAAATTCCTATTTGACAAATCTTACTCCTCACCTTTTAGTAGACAAAAATATGACTAAATTCCGGCAAATTATATGGTGGTACTGGCTTACCATGAGCATGGTATGCCCGTACCACATGCCACACCGTTTTTCTTTCTATTAGGAGCGCTACGCATATTTTTTGTTCTTTTCCCAAATTCCCTTAATTCATCCACTTCCTTTTCTCTCAAGTGATTCAAAGCTCCACGTATGCTATTTCTTTTTCTTTACTTTTCTTTTCTTTTCTTCAATTCTTTTCTCATCTCAATCAAAATACTAAAAAAAATTAAATTTGTGATTTTACTTATGTTTATTGTTAACGAATTTAATTATAACTGATCAATTAACTTCTTTTAAAAAAAATTATTACAACATTTTATTAATCCGCATAAAATAAGTACAATGTATTAATAATCACACACTACTTTTGCCAAAAAAAAAAAAGCATACACTACTATTTTACCTTTTTCTTCAATTGAAATTACTACCGAATTTATAATTTTTTAGAGGTTTTTAAGACATTGAGTTTGTTTATTTTGATTCTTGAAGTTACATTTGATAATATATCATAAAATTACATCTTCTTCTGCGTAAGTTACATCTTAATGTACGCGAGTTACATCTTAATGTATGCGAATTACACCACGGAATAAACTCCAGCTATATCATTTTTATTGCCCTAATATTAAAAATAAAACATATTCACTGTTTATAAAATAGTAATTAAGCTATTAGGATCAATTTTTCATTGTTTACATTGAAATCAATGTTTATAATATCTCAAATACAAAAACAAAATATTGTTCAATTTTCCAACAAGTTACATTCTGTATACACATAAGTTACATTTGTCATCAACGTGAGTTACATTTGTAATAATACGAGTTACATTAAAAAATCAACCTCTACTATTGAAACAAAAAAATGATCTTTTCTAAAAAATTATTTTTTATGGCCATGATATTAAAAACAAAATATATTTCCATTTTACCTCAAACAATTGTGCGATTAGACTCTCATTTTCATTGTTTATATTGAAATTAATATTTTATTTCTTATATTATGTATTCGACAAATTACATTTCGAACGGACTTGAGTTACATTGATCAATAACGCGAGTTACATATCTTTACACGCGAGTTACATCATTCATGCTACTGGGACAAAAAGTCAAAAACAGTTATTGTACACGCGTGTACTGTTCACGTGATTTTTTTTTAAAAATGTGCAAAACTACGTCGTTTTTGGGAGTGAAGCATGATGCTCAAGGTGCGCCAGTTGCACCCTATACGAACTGCTAAATTCCTACTCTCTCCGTCCCTAATAACCTAATAACTTTGCTAAGTTTGACTGACACGTAAAAATTGTGTGGTTGAGGCCTGTGGAGAGGAGAGAGAATGAACTGTAACCACAAATTCTTTACCGTAAAGGGAAATAGCATAGTTAGCGGGACATCCAAAAAAGGAAAGTTAGTAAAATTATAAGCGACAAAAGTGACCAAATCTATAACTAATCACCTGCCTTCAAACAAGGAAAGCACAGTGCTATATTGAGGCAAACTTGGAGCTCCTCTGTGGACAGAGCAGCTGGACGGAGCAATACATCGACGCGCGCAAACATGGAACTCCTCTGCGGACAGAGCAACTAGACTGACCGCCTCTTCCTCGACATCGCCCTCCGCGAACAGAGTAGACGGATCGCCGCCTCCGCCGTCATGACCTTCGTCATCCTCGCCCCGACGGCTGTATTAGACGGATCTTCATTGCCTTGGCCGTCGTCATCGCCCTTCGCAGAAGGAGTAGACGGATCGTTTCTACCACCGTCGTACTCGCTTTGAACGTTTAGATCTGTGATAGCTAGGGTTCAGATATGGCGGCGAGGAGCATCGCCGTCGGGCCAGATCCAGATTGAAGTGGCTAGGCTTGGGGTTGGTTGGGGGTGTGGTGATGATTTGGGACGGGATTTGGGGAGGGGAAGGTAGGGAGCAACTGGGGAGGGGGTTAGCGGCCGGGGAGGGCGAATTGGGGGCTGAGAAGGGTAGGCTACGAGCTTTTGACATCGGCTGTAAGTCAGGTGGGCCGGATGGCGGTAGACTAAAGGTTGGATGGTGGTGGCCGAAATGTTGCGGCGGCGACCGTGGAGGGTCCTAGGGGGCAAGTGCCCCTGCTTCTGATCCCGAAGTTTAAAATTAGTACTTATAGAAATTGTGTCTCCGCTACGCGGTCAAAAAATTAGAAGTTATTTCATAAATATTAGCTAAGTAGAACTAATAGACATAAATATTACTATACTTACTATGCATAGTATAAATTATACTCCCTCCGTCCCAATTTACTTAGTCAAACTTGACTTTTCAAGTCAACAGCGTTTAACTTTGACTGATTATATGTTTATATAGAGAAAGTATTGATAATATGAAAATGACATAAAAATGATCTTTGTTAAAAACACTATTATAAAAGTATAAAATTATCAAACTTTGCATAAATATATTAGCTTAAATAATTGGTCAAAGTTAGAAACCGTTGACTTGAAAAGTCAACTTTGGCTAAATAAATTGGGACGGAGGTAGTAAATGACTACGAAGTTGTGATGGAGCAAATCCTTATAGTTAGACATTGATTACTACACTTTGTTTGAAAACTGACATTGATGATTTTCTTACTTGGTGTAAACAATGGTTGTCCAAAGTTAAAAGTCAAAGATATGACAAGTGTTCTAATAGGTAGGATGAGTTTAATAGATGCAAGACTTTTATCTTGAATAGAAGTCTATACATGAAAAAATGTGTCAATTCGCGATAAATTAGTTTCAAACCAACATACTCTTTGAATTTTTTTATCTATAATATAATGAATGTTAGATTTAAATAAAATTGTATTAAAGAATGAAATCATGAACATGATCTATACTTTATTTTTAACACAATAGTATTACATTCCAGACAAGTACCAACAAATTTTGTAGCACAATGTGTAACATTCAACGTGATTCTAGTTCAGATATGAAATCTTGATCATTTTATAGTATTAAAAGTAACGAGAATTGAAATGTAAAACCAGAAACGGTGCAAAGATGAATCATTTCTGATCCAAATTATATCTTTCTTTCAAAAAGACATATATATTGTTTAGAATGGTCTTAATAAGTTCAAAATTAGACTTATAATCCATATATGTTCATTGCTTTAAAGCCATCATTGAATAATCTATTTTCAGTTTAAAATAAAAAATTTGAACGCACTTGACAGAAAGACTAATGATACACCCGATTTGACCCGACCCGACCTATTTCCATCTATGCGGGAGTGCCCCGCTTCAGAAAAGTTCTAGGTCCGCCACTGGGCGGCGATCGAAGTTAGTGTGACGACGGCAATAGGTGGCAGGGATGTATTTGTGTTTTTTGGTGTTGGGAGGGTGATTGTCGCGGTGTTGGTGGTGGTGTGGCAGCAGTTCCCGAAGAGAGTATCGCAGTGGTGGTGCGGCGGTGGAGGTCGTATCACATTTTTCACCGGAAAATTTTCCGGTGGCATAGTGACACACTACACGGCAGCACTCACTTCCAGAAGTGACATAATAATCGACAATGACATTCGAAAGTGACATAACAAAAGTGAGATTTAAAAGTGACATAAAAATATGATAATGACAATTTAGGGGTGTTCATCGGTCCAAAACCGGACCGGATCGGACCGGAATCGGAATCTTAAATTTATGAGAACCAAAGACCGGACCTATTACTAACCGGTCCAGACCGACCCGGACCGGAATTTTACGGTCCGGTCCGGTTTTGACCCTAATTAACCCGGTTTTTTAAACAAAAAAATAATAACACAAACTTTTATTTCGAAAAATAATCTGATGAGCAAATATGCGTAGTAAATGTTTAATTCATATATCAATATTAACATATAAATGTTTATTACTTCCCTAGTGCACACTACAAACTAGCAGACTGTATTTGTAGTCTTGAATTCTTGCAGGTTGCAACTTAAGAAACAGACTTCTGAAT